ACATTTCCATGTGTGATGAACTCTGTGCTGCCAGCACTGTCTGGTCAGAGATGCTGTTTCTGATGTTGCCCCAATATTGTTGTCTCTCAAATTTAAAAGAAAATCCTCCAGTTCAGTACACCAAATACTGCATGGATGCCTCCTGTTTTTCTAGGGTGCCATACCGTACCTAGTGTGGGGAAGTGGGTGGGGTGCGGGACAGCACTGTCCAAGCCCAACGGGGGGCATCCAGAGAGCTGAGCAGGGAAACTGCAGCTTCAGAGCCTCCTCCTAGACCACCCTTGACAGAACCACCACCCTCCGCCTCCCCCCCACCACCACCAAGTGGGTAACAGTAGAGCCAGGACCAGAATGTTCCAGTTGGTCAAGAAGCATAGGTCTTTTCTTTGCTTCTAGAGACTGATGTCAGAAATGTTTAACTGAAGTTGAACTTCAAGGGTAAAGGGAAGTGTAGCTGTGATCTTGGAGGTCACTTGGTGCAGGTCAGAATTTCCAAGAAGATAAATGACCCATAAGGGAATGGTGCTGAATGCTTGCTTTTTCGTGGCCTTAGGAGTCAAAGTCTATTCTCTCAGAGTAACACTCCCCTGGGCTCCTTCAAAGAAACCAGAAACTGATAGGATGAGGTGAGAAGGTGGTTGACAGACAAGCCGCCCAGTGGTGGCGCACGCCTTCAATCCCAGCACTTGGGAGACTGTTTGAGGCCAGCCTGGTTTACAGGGGGAGTTCCAGGACAGCCAAGGCTACAGAGAAACCCTGCCTCAGAAAAAGAAAACAAAAATCTACAGATGACATTAAGAAAATGGGGAAGCTGGGTGGTCATGGCACACTTGGGAGGCAGAGGCAAGGGGATCTCTGAGTTTGTGGCCAGCATGAGCTACAGAGTGAGTTCCAGGGCTACACAGGAAAATCCTGTCTTGAAACATGCCCCTGCCTCCAAAAGAAGTTGAAGAAAATAGAAAGAGGGAGTGAGGCTCGGGGGGGGGGGGGGGGGGAAAGGAGGAATCTAGGAAAGTGGATGGTGAGCTCAAGGCTGGGTCCCTCCAGAAGAGGCCAGAAGCCTGGGAAGGGAGAACGTGGAGCGTGCAGGTGGAGCATCCACCGTACACTAAAGAAGCATGCTTCAGCAGAGGAGTACTGCCTGAGTTTAGGGGCTCAGGTTATACTCATTACAAGGCTCCAAGCACTCCCCGGGAGTCAGGGAACCGGAATAAGGACAACACTCCCAGCAGTGGTGGAAGTGAGTCTGTGTGGCATCTGCCAGTCCAAGCACAGATCCCAGCGGCTGAGCCTACCCTCTCCATCCTGCTCACCTCATTAGCTGCACTCTCGGATCTCCTGGCCCAGCAAACCAGAGGAGGCAGGCAGGCTTGGCCTGTAATGGTGATAGGTGGTGCCCAGCAAATGCCGAGCCAGGCTCTCCGCCTTAGTTCTGCCAGATGCCTGGTACAGAGGTACAGCACAGTGCACCGCACAGCGTGCATTGGTTTGTTCAGTCACCTTCTCGTGCTTGTGGGCATTCCGTGGTGGAAAAGCTGTGTGACATTTGTCAACAGGTCATGGAGCGGCCTAGTTACTAGGAAGAAAAGGAACTGAGTGATGAGAACTGACCTCCAAGGAGCTCTTGCCCGGTGTTTGCACTGTGCTTTGCATTCTGAATCTCAGCATAATCCCACACCCTTATCCTCTGTCCAAAAAAGAGGTGGGGTCTAAACTAGACCAGGAAGGAGAAGCCCATTTTCTGCATCCCTGTCCCTGGGTAGGAAGAGAAAGGCGGGCTGGAAAATGGAGGAAGAGCAAAGGTAAAAAGGTCCATTCTGCGTGAGGTCCAGGACTCGGATAAGAAAGCCTGGGCTTTGGGGAGCTGGCCTGCTCCAAACCGAGCTCTCTATGGGGAGCAGCTAGGGTCATGCAGAGATGGGCCGCCTTCTCTCTGTACCACCTCTGGAAAGTTCTAATCTTAGTGACTGAGTCAGGAGAGAGCAAGTTGGCAGTAATCAGGCAGTTCTAGGATAAACAGAGCAAAATGTATGAAGAAAGTGAGAAGAGCGAAGAGCAAACAAACGCTCCTGTCACTGATCCCCTGCTGCACCTCCCACAAAGGCTGCGGAGTCTTGAGTAAATGTGGGGGCGCGGGGGAGTAGAATGTAAAACTGAGCTGTGGCAAATCCGTTCTTCGTTCCTCCCACTTCTTGCTTATCATTCCATATAGTTGATTTTTTTTCTATATTCAAAGCTGCCTTAGCCCCTTGTAGGAAGGTATTTTGCATTTCTCCATGTTTTCTCATGCCCTTTGTTTCTGTTCATGGTTTTTCCGTTTTCTGGAAGTTTTTTTGGGGGGGAGGGTATCATTTTTTGTTCGTTGTTATGCAATTTTATAGGCGATGAAATGACAACTGTCATGAAGGATAAATACGTGGCATACTCGTGATCAGTTTCTAAATACATGCTTTTAGATGGAGATGAAAGGTAGGCATGGGTGGGGCTTTTGTTTAGCTCCAGCATTGTGGTACCAAGTTACTTTCCTCAGCTCGGCCAGGGGTGAGAGGCTTTTTTGAGGAAAGGGTCACATTCTGGGTCACAGCAGCATTTAAGAATGCTACAGTCTGCCAGGTGGTGGTGGCGCACACCTTTAATCCCAGCACTCGGGAGGCAGAGGCAGACAGATCTCTGTGAGTTCGAGGCCAGCCTGGTCTACAAGAGCTAGTTCCAGGACAGGCTCCAAAGTTACAGAGAAACCCTGTCTCGAAAAACAACAACAACAACAACAACAAAAATGCTACAGTCTTCCATTGCCTCAAGCTGGGTACAGTTCTCTCTCTCCAATACCAATATATTCAGTTGAGCCCATTACTTTTCTAAAACTTCTCTCTCTTCACCATTCATGGCCCAAATTAAATCTTGTCTCTGTGGACAGAGAACTTGACCCCATTGTCTGTCAGACATCCATTAGGCTTATAACTATTTCAGTTTGATGCATTAAAATGGCTTATTATAAGAATCCATTTTAGATTCCTTTCCATACACATTAGGACAGTATGTGGTCATATGTCTATTGGCCACTTGTATTTGTCCTTTCAAACAGAAGCAG